GGATAGGACGTGTGTGTGTGTGTGTGTGTGTGTGTGTGTGTGTGTGTGTGTTTATTCCTTACATGCATGACAATAGTGGAATGCATTACATTCATAATTATCCATTCACAGCACAATTTTTTGTAACTCTGTATATAAAATATGTTCACGCCAAATTATGCCATTATACATGAGCTCTCCTTTTTTGCATACAATTCTGAATACACCTTTAAACTACAATATCATATCTCTTTTTGTATACAAGGTATGTTGACACCAGATTCACATCTTCATACATGTATGTTGTGTAATGATGACCGTCTTCTTCCACCATCCTAGCTATTCCCCTTCTAGGATGTGTGTTTTACTGAGTTTGCTCTAGTAGCAGTATGGAGGATTCGTGGAAAATAAATAGCCAGACATGAGAACAAGAAGACTTTTCTTGTTCTCAGGCATGAAATATTAACTGAGACAACTGGACTGAGCAATAGGAAAGGCAAGAAGAAGGTAAAGTCTTCAGGACTGATGACCAGTCAGCCATCATAGGAGGGGGGACTGTCTTCTGGGTTTCTGGCTCCTCCACCTGTATAGATATGGTATCACTTATTGAGTTGAGGAATAGAGGAGAAGGAAACAGTTATGGAGGAAAGAAAACGAGTCCAGTGTTCAGAACGATGATTTCTTAAGGAGTCATAGAAACTTATGTGGAAATATCCAATGGGCAGTTGGAAAATCTGGTTTGTGACTTTGGTGAGAAGTTGGAGTATCAGTGACTTATGGAATCTTAGAATTATAGATATGGATTAGACCCATGAGATCTGGAAGAAAAGAACAGCAAGGGAACCCTGCAGAATAGCAGCAGTTAAGCCTAGCCATGGGCATCTCTGTCATTTATCATCTTCCTACGTGGAAAGTGTGATTGAGAGTTTTTATGTGTGTCTGTAAATTTTTAAAGTAAATTCTACATATTTCCTTATTAAGACATATACACATGTTTTTAAAAAGAGAGAGAGAATATATGTAGCAGAGGCACATACTATAGTCTTGGAATAAATATACAAAGCCGAAATAAAATGTAAACTTTTTAGGCAAACATAAAAAAAAACTAGCCAAATACAAAGAGTGCTCAAGTGAGGAAACTAAGAGGAGTAGCCAGGCACAAGTGAGAAGACACCATAGAAGAAGAAGGGAATGGTCGGTCACCAGGGCTAGGTGCTACGGTGGAGGTCAGTTCAGTGTTATTGACTACTTACCTCCCACCAGCACTGTGGATACAAAGATGTATAAGAAAAGATCCCTATGGACAAGGAGCTTGCAGTCTGGTAGGAGAAGTAAACACAGAAATAAGTACAGTACAAAAATGTAGTTGGGCACAGAGTGGTGATGTGTTGAATTTTTGTGGTGCTATAGAAGTACAAAGGGGAGTTACTTCGGAAAGCCAGAGGATGGGGGACCAGGTGAAGGCTGAGTAGAGGTAATGATGCCTCCCAGGTAAATCTTGGAAAGTGAGAAGTAATTAAGCAATTAAAGAGGGAGAAGGGATAATCTGCCTACAGAGGGAACAGTCTTAGCAATGACATAAAAAGCAGAAAATGCCATGTTTTGGGGGAAACTAAAAGCCCAAGAAGGTCCACTAAGGCAACTGCAGAAAAACCAACAGGATTTAGCATTTAAGAAGGTAAATGGTGAGCCCAGACTGCAGGATGTGAAAAAAGAGGGGCATCCTTTCCAGTAGTTTGGCTTTGGGCCAAGGATATGGAAAAGACCTCATAAAAAATAAAACCCAAATCCAAATTACCACTAAACACATAAAAGCATAGGCAATTAAAAGTAATCTTGAAAATTAATTACAAATTTAAATGAAGAAATGCCATTGGTTAACCTTTGAAATTTGGCCAAGTTATTTTTCCTGCCTTAATAATAACATACAGTTTTGGCAACAGTGATGTGAAATGAACATTTTTTAAAAAATTGGTGCAGTAGTCTTAAGAGGTTAGTACATTTATGTAAGATGAGAATGTTATGTTCATGCCCCTCAATCCAGAAATTCCACTCTCAGAATTTATTCTAAGGAAAAGGAATGATAAGTGTGGATAGAAATTTTTGTACAGCGGTATTCACTATAGTGTTGTTCATAAGAATTAAATATTGGATAGTGGCTTACCATCTGACAATAGGGGGTTATTTAAATAAATTATTTATTTATGTTTTTAGAGAGAGAGAATTTTTTATTATTATTAGTCGTTCAAAACATTACATAGTTCTTGACATATCATATTTCATACATTTGATTCAAGTGGGTTATGAACTCCCATTTTTACCCCGTATACAGATTGCAGAATCACATCGGTTACGTATCCACATTTTTACATATTGCCATACTAGTGTCTAGTATAAATAAATTATAATACCTTTGTCTGATGAAGGTTTCATCATCTTACAGCCACTAAGAGTCACAGTTTTAAGAAGTGTTATTTAAACAAGACATTTTTAAAATTGTAATATTAAGTTTAAAAAGCACACAATTGAATATAAGGAATGAACTACATATGTGGGCACATTTGTTTGTGTAAGAATCACCAAACAATATTCGTTATCTTGGTGGGAGTACAGATGTTTCTTATTTTCTTTTTTTCTATCATGTATTTTCCAGATTTCTTCCTTTGTGACTATTAAAGTCAATACATGTTTTATTAGTTTGTTTTTCACAAACAAAAACTGGCTATGAAGGAAAGGAGGGACCATGGGCAATCACAGGACAGTATTATGAGTATTATTATTTCTTTAGATTGCAGAACTTGAACCTGGTGTTATTTGATAAGTGGAAATGTCAATAAAGGAGAGGCTTAATGTATAGGGAAGCGGGAAGGTAACTGGCTTCATGGGCATCCTCAAGAGAAGAGAGGGAATGAGACCCAGAGCAGAGAAGAAAGAGGTTAACTTTCAACAGAGAAGTGCACCTCTATGGCACTAAGGAGAAGAAGTCAGGGATGATACTGCTATGTCCCCTTTCTTTGCTTGCTACCTATGACAGTCCTGGACCTGAAGGAAGGGAGCATGTTTTTAAACTTCTTTCTTTCTAACGTGAATTGACTCATTTAGCCATGTGGAAAAGTGTGGCTAAGTAGATTTGAGACGACTGAATGACTACATATTTCATAAGAATAACTCTATATTGAAAAACATATTGAATGTATTTTAACTTAAGCTGTGCATGATTTCTTTTTGTAAGTTTTGTGCTCGAATGATTTCTTCCTTAAATGAATAGCGGAGATTTCTAGTCATCAAGAAATGCAAACTTGACAGGTGTTCAGGAAAGAATGTGGAACTCTTTGTTTCGGGTTAAATACTGAAAAATTAGAAAAAAAAATAGACATTTTTGTTGCAGATTTTATTTTTTCCCTTTATTTTCCTTTTCTTGTTGAGATAATACTGTGAACCTTGGCTTGATGAAGTACCATTTAATTATTTTTTTTAAAAAAAGAGCTGAGGTGAAGAAGAGGAAGATTGAAAGAAGTGCTTCAGGTTGACTCCCATTTTCTGAAGTATATAAGGAAGCCACAGTCTATAGGAGTGTTTCTGAAACTTTTTCCCAGATGTAATATAAAAAAAAAAAACCCGTGTCTTAGTCTTCACTTCCACCAACCCATTTTAGGGTTGATGCAAAGTGGTTGCTCCAGGAATGTTTGTTGACTCACTAAAGTATGAAAAGAGATGTGAGGAAGTGGTGAGGGTTTTGTGTAGCTTATATGGGTATCAGAGGGAGCCCACCAGTGACAAGAAAAGGATCTGAGTAGTCTGAGGATGCAGTTGGGTTGAGAGCATACCTCTACTTAAAAGGACTCCAAATTTTGAAACCGGGGAAACAAATAATGGTTACAGGTGATCTATTTTGTTCTCTGTCCAGTTTTTCCCATGTCCATGATGGTCCTTTGAATCCAGGCTTCACAATCTCTTATGGGCGTAATGATAAAAACCCACAGCCCACTTGGCCACCAAAAGAGAAAATGGTCCTCTAACTCCCCAGACCTGGCCCGCATAGACAGGTTTTGTTTTAGTTGAACCTATACAGACTTTTTAGTTTCTTAATAGGTAATGCCTACCTTGCATAGTTAATTGGATAGAGTATGTAGAAAAATCTTTTAAACTGTAAGTGACAGTATGAAAATAAAGGGTTCTTATTTTAGGAATATTTATTTTTCTTCACTGAAAGTAAGAAGAGGCCTCAAATTTTCATATGCCTCAGGTCTCAGAGAAACAACTTCCTCCAGCCAGATTTTAGGGCTCTGAGCAGCTACTGGCCTAAATAGGGAAACCAAAAGAAGAGAATTGTATTTTTCCCAAAATTACATTTTTGCTTGAAGGTTACCAGGATGATGTTACCCAAGAGGAATGGTTTAAATATGGGCAGAAGCTGACATAGATTAGCTCTCACAGAAGACTGATCTGTAGAGAAGGAAAGGATTGGATGAGGGGGATGATTCTCACATACAAGCAGTTTCATTCCTTCTTCTTCTTCTTCTTTTTTTTCAAAACAGAATTGCATTGATGAAATTGAGACCATAATCAGTGTTAAGCTCCAGCTCATCGGAATTGTCGGTATTGGAATTGCAGGACTCACGGTGAGAAAGTTCCAGAACTTACCTTTTTTGCCCTCTAAGGAGCCTCAAACTTTTGCATATGATTTTTCTTAAAGTGTGAGATGGCAGTATCTTTTTTTATTTTGAGGCATCACATCATTTTATTCATTAAATAACCACATCATCATAACCATAACTATAATAATTAATACTTGCTTAATATAATCCAATCCATACACAGTGTTCAAATTCCTAAAAAATGTATTTAGATATAACATTTATGTCAGGATCTCAAAAAGTCTCACTTTTTGTGATGTTAATTTTTTTTATTTTGAAATAACTCCAAACTTACAGAACAGTTGCAAGAAAAGCACACACACACACACAAAAAAAAACCCTTCTATTAGTCATCCATAAATCCCCATTCAAGTTTGTTAACTATTCTAATATCTTTTAATAGCAAAAGGATTCTTACAATGTTCTTTTCAATCCTTTCAAGAACCTTGACTGCATCTCGTCCTTTCTTTACTTTTATGACTTGAACATTTTTTAAAATTATAGGCTAGGTATTTTGTAGCGTATTACTCAATTTGAGTTTTTCTGCTGTTTCCATATGCTAAGTATAAGGTTATGAATTTGGGGTAGATATGTCACAGAAATGACACTGCTTTTCTCACTACACCTCTCAGGTGCCACAAGATGTCATTTTGCCCCATGGTTAGGAATGTTAAGTGTCCTCTCATCAACAAAGTAGTATCTTCCAAGATCTGCCCATTTTAAGTTGTTCTTTCTTCCTTCATAGTTAATGTTTTATGGCAAGATGCTTTGAGACCGTGTAAATATCCCGTTCCACACCCACTTTGATGCAGTAATTTTAGCACCCATTATGTTTCTTAGATAGCAGTATTTTAAAAGAGAATTCTCATAAAGGACAAAGACATTTATTCATGGTACATTTTCTAAGAACAAAGTTAATTAAATACATCAATAATTAGTCCTCTAAGATATGATATAAATTTCAACATTGACCTAATTGTGACCTCGAGCGTATCAGCACAATAACATCTATTTTAAGGCCACCGATATTAAGTTAGGTAAGTGATTTTCAATTCAAAATGGCATAATATCACCCTGATCTTTCTTACCTATGATTTGAAGCAGCAGCACAGCACAGTGACTAATAGGACAAGCTCTGGCATCACATGATTTGGATTCAACTCCTCACTCCACTATTTACAAGCCCTGGAATTGTATCTTAATTTCTCTATGCCTCAGTTTCCTCTTTTGTAAAATGGGTTTTTTGGTGGTACTGAGGATTGAACCCAGGGCCTCATACATGGGAGGCAAGTGCTTAGTACAGTACAGTGCTTAGTACAGTGTATCACTAAATTGTCCAGGATGAGCTTGAACTTGTGATCCTCCTGCCTCAGCCTCCTAAGTAGCTACGATTACAGGTGTACACCATCACCCCCAGCTAAAAATTGGGATTTTAATATACCAAATTATAAGATTGTTGTGAAGATTAAATGGGATATTACATATAAACTATTATTACAAATTAATTCATATAAAGCCTGTGGCACATATGGCACTCAATAAATGCCAGCTGTTCTGAGTGTTCCCAAACCTAGAAACTAGGCGAAGGGTCAGCATATAAGAGAGTGTGAGGCATAATGCTTCCAGGTGGTTTGGGATTCCTGAAGTACAAAAGAAGAGTATAATAGAGGAGTTGATAGCCATGGACAGGTATGTAGGAATGACCAGAGATGACACTGGAGGGGTATGAGGTCCACATGATGGAGGTTTTTTTAATGTGCCCTTCTGAGAAATTTGGCTTCATTTCTAAGGAGAGGGGAGTCTTTGAGGTTTAGAAAGATGTGATACAGCCATCAGGGAAAGATTGGAGTAATGCGAGATTGGAGTCCAGGAGGCCAGTGAGGAGGTGATTTCCATTGTCCAGAGATTAGATGATAATAACTAATGCCAAGCCAGTACATACTCTCCAGACATCTATAAATATTGGCTCTCAGCCCTCACTAAAGTCTGAAAACAGTGAGGAAATCCATGAACTGGCAGTTCTCAGGGGACACACAAGCACTTTTCCCCTTTTCTGAATTTAGTGCACAGAGAGGCAGGACAGTGGTTGAAAACACTATGCTGAGAACCCCTAAACTCTGCAACACCTGTCAGGCCCTCCCCATCTGATCCAGGGCTAGCTTGGTTGCAATTTCTGCAGCTCCTCAAAGACAATCTTGAGGCAGGTGGGTTGAAAACATTCTATAATGGAGGTATAAATAGAGTCTCCGAACTGTTCTACAATCTCAACAAATAAACAGCCGAAAGAAGTCACCCATGACTCTTGACAGCAGCAGGCTAAGACTGAAGAAGTTTCTTTCTGAGGGCATCTCTTCAGAGTACTACCAACCTTATGACCATGGTGTGTTAGCTAATTTTTCCATCACGGTGACAGAATACCTCAGATAAACCACTTAAAAAGAGGAAAGTTGACAGCTTCAGAGTTTTAGTCCACGGTCATTTGGCCCCAGAGCTCTTTGGGCCCGTGCAGAGAATCATGGTGGAGAACATAAGGTGGAACAAGGCTGCTTACTTCATGGCACCTGGGAAGCAAAAGAGAGAAAGGAGGGACTGGGATCCTAATATCCTTCCTTATATTAGGCTCTACCTTGTAAAGATTCTACCACTTCCTAATAGCTGGGGACCAGCCTTCAATACAATTATCCTTTGGGGGATATTTAATTATTTTGTTGTTTGTTCTAATAAGGTGAGAGTTGCCCAGTGTAATCAGTTAACCAAATGTCCATTAGGTGTCTCCCTGCCACATGCTAGAAGTGAGATCTGACAGCCAGAAGCATGAAATCCTGTTCCTAGCTATGCCCTTACTTAAGTCTACAGGGCTCTTCCAGAACAACTGGTTATTTGTGCCTTGTTGTGTTTAGCATTTACAGATCTTAGTCTGACTTATGATGGAATGAATTAATGAGAGTTATGGTGCCCATTTTTAAAAACTAAAACTTGACAGTCATTTACAAAAGGGCACCCACAGACAGAGTTCCACAGGCTCTGCACAAACATCGAGGAAATGATTGAAGACAGGAAGAATCTTCTGGAATTCTTCTGTTCAAACCATGGAAGTGGATATTGAGTTGGCCCAAGTATTTTGCTTCTCAGAGAACTATTCAAGAGGTAGAAGAAGTTAGGAATATCATAGTTCAAATACTTCCATTTGTACTTTGGTAAAAATATTGAGTTAAATAGTGAAGAATTATTTGAACATCAAAATGGGCCAGGAATGAAGACATGACCCACATTTTGGTATGAATTTAAAGCTTTTCTAGCAATAGAAAACTATTTGGACCATAAGTATCTTTAAACAACAAGAAGTTATGAACACATTTTTTCAAATGAATACATAAATGATCTAGGATTAACCCTAAAATATACAACTCCAAAACCAGTTAGTATATCAATCTTTTACAACTATTAAGACCTGTTTTATAAGCCAGAAACACTCCTTTTCTTAAAACAGAGACTTGTTATTTGTTAACAATAATAATATAATAATGCACTTTAAGCATCGAATAAAGAACTATTGCTCCATAGCCATCTTCAAGGAACACATAAACATATAAACCAGTAATTATTGATTGTAATTATTACTTATTAACTTGAGTTGGACACCTAAGCAGTTTTGCTGACCTTTTAATCAAATAATACACAGTTGAAAGTCACTAACAAGTGTTCCTTCTGTTTCAGATCTTTGGCATGATATTCAGTATGGTCCTTTGCTGTGCAATACGAAACTCACGAGATGTGATTTGAAGCTACTTCATCATGAAAATTGCAAACTAGAGTTTTCATACTAAATGTCACAGGAGCTGTCTCTCAGCTCATTTTTAATGTTCAGAGGACATTAGAATCTAAAATAATTTACTGTCGATTGTACATTTGCACATGTATGTACGTCTGGCTCATTACTGGTTTGCCCCTTGAGTGAATGGTATGTTGACTGGGAACATAGTCACATGTGAGCCGTGTGTTTCTGGCATATACATTATAGAAATCTGTTGGCTGGGAGTTCCTGATTCTTGTTCTGTAAGAGGAACAACCTATTTAACTACCAGAAAAAGATCAAATAGCTTTGAGAAACTTTAAAACCTGGATTTCAGGAAATGTGATAATAGTTCAGTTTCTCAGACATCAGCCAGGAAAATTAGATGCATACAGAGAATTTGGGGATTTCTACTTAATGGAAGCAATAAGCTACAGAATTGAGAGATCATGGTGCAGTGTTGAAATTGACTCTGTCTGAATATAGGATTTCCTAGGATTTTTTAATATATATTCTCTCCCCCAAAATACAGTAAACCACAGTTTTAAAACTAACACATCTGTAAAACTAAATATAGCATGGAAAATCTAATTTGAATAAGTCCTGCTTTCCTAGTATTTAAAAAAAAAAAAAAAGCAAAAACAAAACCTCCCTCTGGAAAGAGTAGTCACACAGACAATCATGTGCCCTAAAAAGTGTTTATAGAACTGAAAAAAAAAACTTTTAAGGCAATATTTTTGTTCTTATACAAATACATGTAAGTATTGCTTTATCCCTTTCTTTTTCTGACTCTGCTCTGAACTACTGCAACCCTCATATCCTCAAAAGGGCTTTTATCTTGAACTCTTCTATGTTTCTCCAAACATGAGAATAGAACAACTAAAGCAAGAAATCTGGCAGTTGCAAATTGTAGGAAAGAAATTTTTATTGGCACTGTACCTTTGAAATACCTCATAACTTGAGTTTACATATTTTCCTAATTTTTTGTACTTTTCTTATTTATTCACCTAGAGAGAATTCTTCATATATTAATAACTATGGTTGTGACCACTTAAATTTTAAAAACTCCTGCACAATCCAGATATTATTTTATGAGCATCAGTGGCCAAATAAAAACCTCTCTGAGTTGTAAACTCACAATAAAGACAAGTTCAGGAAACAAAAATACTTATATACAAACATACGCAATACAAATATATTCCTTTCTATGCAAGTCCCCTATGAAAATAAAATCTTCAGGTTTGTTATTTTTTGGTCTTAATTCTTGATTTTAAGTAAAGAAATCCACATTTAGGACCTAAATTGGCCTATTTGTCAGTAATTTTTAGCAATTTGTTACATTTAGTAAATCATGGATTTTTTTTTAAATTGCATTTCAAAAAGTCACATAAAAGTGAAAATATGGGGGACTTTGGAAATTCCCAAGTGAACTTCTTATACATGGGAGAACACAAAACTTTGGCTGTGCACTAAGAGGAAGTGCCAGGTTCCCAAGAACCTTAACAAACATTTTGCTGGAAAGATATAACTGTTCAAAGTAGTGGTTATGAAGCACCACACTTCTTTCAGCCATACTTGCTATTGCTACTAACTTTGGAGGACAACTTTTCTAGGAAAAAAAAAAAAAGTCAGATTGGAAGCAAGCTAAAAACTAAATTGTGCATGGCTACTTTGCTGTGTCTATGGCTAAAAAAAAAAAAGAGAGATTTAAGAAAATTACTTCATGAAATAAATATTTGCATTCTAATAGTTGACAAATGCAAATGTAACCTTTTAAGCAAAGTTTAGTAACTAGTTCATCTGTTCCCCTAAATGACAGGAGATAGGTCCAAGTGTATACTCAGGTTCCTCCAGCTCAGAATTATCTTTTATTCCACAAAAATAAATTTCATTCCATATCTGAATTAACAATCTTAAAGAAGACTACAGTAATTAAAAGTGAAAGAGTAGAAATAGATTAATTTTTTAAATGTTTAAAAATTTTTGTTAAAGTACAAGACTAGAAATCTGTTTCATGTATGATTAATGTGCCCCTTTAGCGGGTTAAGCTTTCCAAAATAAGTGCCATAAGTGAAATTAGAAAATTCCACTGCTAAGTGAGGGTAGATTTTATATGTGTGTATATACACACACATGCATACAGAGACATAGTTTCATATAGATAGAAAATCCCTATATACCTTGAATCTATATCTATATATATATCTTGAAAACATTTGAGTATATATACATCTATAATTTGAATACATGTACACATATATGTATGTGCACATATATGTATGTCTATATATCTATACATATGCACACACTTGTATACATAATATTTCAGTTATTTGTTTACCTGAACTAATTGGAGATCAGACACAAACATTTTCTTAAACCCCTGGTGCCAAGGCACTGAATTAAAACTTCTTAATGATGAAATATTTTAAGTTATTTTAAATTAAATTTTCTATGTATTGGAACTGCTTGTCTGAGTTATCTTAAAATCCTTGTATATCTTTTGACACATCTTCACACAACTTATTTAAATGTTTGTTACTATCAATAACCAAACAATATGGTATATGAAACAACTGATCATCTTCCTATAATGTTATTAAGAGCTGAATATTTTCAAAAGCAACACCCTAAAGACTTTCATTGCATATAGTTGTATTTTAACTACTATTTTTTAATTCAAGTTGAACTTCTCTTCTCCAGAATAGCTTCTTTGTTATCTGTGGCTTAATCTGTAAGATTGTACAATGACTCAGGGTCCAGTGTGGTCCTTCATGCAGTCAATGACAATGTTGCTCTCCTTTTTCTGTGAGCAGTGCCTAAAAGGAGTGGCTGGGTGAGAATGAGGCTGGTGGGAAGATGGGTGAAGAGGGAAGCAACTTTTCTAAAGTTTATCAAAGATTAAAAAGAAGAGCCACTCTTCTGTCACAGGCAAAAGGTGGCTTCCATTGCTCTGGGAGCAGCCTTTGGGGCTTCAATAGGTGCACATTATATCCTTCCTGGTTCCTGGACTCCTTGCCATCCTCTTTGACCACCAGCTTCTCATCTCAGAAACCCAGTTTTCCCCAAACCTATGGGAGAACTTTCAAGGGCCCTTGAAGTTAGCTGTATTTTAGTTTGGGATCATCAAAATCAAATTTGTGTTAATATGTATTTTAAGAGAGACAAAAGTTTTTCACTTTCTTTCAACATGATTCTTCATTTTTTTTTTTGCTTTAAATATATAGGTACATAGTATCTGTATCTATAAGTATTCCTTTAAAGGTGAAACACCTACACCAATACAGAGTGTTATTAATTTGGGTTGTCCTTATTATAACAAGAAAAGCAAAATATATTCCAGGAACCATGTTCAGATGGCTATCCCTTGGAAACAGAAAAAGCATGAAGGATAGAAGTAACATGTCCTATACTTTGCAAAGTGTCATTGATGTTGATTTCATGAAGTGTTTAACTAATGTGCCAAAAACGCTTCCAAAACGTTCATATTTGTTTTGGGGGTTTTCCCTCTGTGTAACTTATGATGGCTTTTATTTATATTAAATAATATAAATTAGCCAGGCACAGTGGCACACACCTATAATCCCAGCAATTTGGGAAGTTGTAGTAGGAGAATCCCAAGTTTGAGACCAACCTGGGCAATTTAATGAGACCTTATCACAAAATAAAACTTAAAAGAAAAAAACATAATAATAAAGGTGGAATGTAGCTTGGTGGCAGTGCACCCTGTATTCAATCCCCAGTATCACAATAAATAGAAATTTAAATCAAAGTAAAACAACCAATATAAAGTGTTTAGTACACCTGGCAACTAGTGAATATTAGCTATTGCTATAATTATTATGTTAATTCTCCCAAGTTTTGTTAACTATAAATAATTTTCTAAAAATCATATAGAAGATACTTCTGTATGATTCCAGTTATCTATAGGAACATATTCATTTGTTGAATTATTGAAGAGCATTTGATATATTTCCCAGTCCTATTTTAATTCAAAAACTTGATATCAATAGCCAACGTTCCCATGCTCTTCTCTGGGCCTGCTCCACATTGTAAGATGCAGCCCACATTAATATTGGAATTGCTTTTGTAACTTTGCTTGGGATTACTCTTTTGTGCATTGTGGAACATTTTATAGGACTACTAATGTGGTATGATGGGCAAGGCAAGTCTGCTTGCTGTCATAAGCTTAGAGTGCAGAAAAGCTGGTAGGTATATTGAGACAAGTACTATGATAATCATTAATCCAGAGAAGACCCACTCAAAGTTGGGAAGAAGATCAGGGGAGAGACATCTCCTGAATGCTAGGGTCTCTAAACTGAATGCTAAAAATCCCTTACAAATTAGCCAAGTCAAAAGTGGTAGGGGAAGAGGAAGAAAGAAGAGGGTTTGTGGGGAAAGCGTGCTGAAGACCCTGAAATACACAGAGCATGAAAACACTGAACATGTCGACAGCTAATGTTTGTCCTGTGGTCATGGGTGAATTTTTAAACAGTGGCAGGAAACCAAACTTGAATCTTTTTTGTTGTTGTTGTTGCTTTTACTATTATACTATCATACATGCATGGAATATAATTTGCTCCATTTCAATCCCCAGTATTTCCTCTTTCCCTTCACTCCTCCTTCCCTTTTCCCTTCCTCTACTCTACTGGTCTTCCTCCTATTTATTGTTTTTCTAAATTAGTGCCTTACAGATGTACCTAAAGGTAAGGATCGCTCAGCTTAAATATAAGGAGTGATTGGATGGCAAAGACCTGACTTATAAGAATTTCTATCTAATGTACTAGAAACCCTCATAAGAATTAGACTTAAGAGAAATTAGATTTGAGGAATCAGAAAGGAGAGGAACTTAGATTTCTGACTCAGTAGCTGGAAAATAGTGTTGCACAGGAAGAAATGTAGATTGGATCAGAGATGTAGGAGATGACTTCCTCTACCAGTAGAGTATAATAGTAATATTTTATATATATATAAATATATATATATAAATATATATATATATAAAATACCAATAGAGTATAATAGTAAAAGCAACAACAACAAAAAAAAAAAGATTCAAGTTTGGTTTTCTGCCACTGTTTAAAAATTCACCATTAACCGCAGGACATCCAAAAGAAAATACACACAGCCAGTGGATACACAGCCCTGAAGTTCAGAAAAGTTTGCACTAAAACTGCAGTTCAGGAATCATCCACATAAAAGTGATAGTACTGACATTTGAACAAGACGAGCCACTTCTCATGATTAAATCCCCAGAGAAAAATCAAGCTGAAAAAATTAGAATCAAAAACTCGTATTAAGAGTATGCAACAATTCTTTACTCTCCACCCATTTCTTAATCTCAGGCCAGAGAGTCTCTGTTAGCTTCCCATGTTTCATTAGTAGCTGCCATATAACATCTTAATGCATCTCTAACTAGTTCAGCAATAAAGTATTGGTTTAAGCATGAAGCCAACTTCAGATTATGAAATGGATATAATTCCTTAGGACATCCAAGGACAAATTCATACAAAGCCAAGTTTCTTATATGCTCTACACTTAACAGCGTTCAAACGGTTAATAGAACACATAAGATTATTATAGCTCTAGCCCTTCTTTCATGAAGTTTAGAATTTTCACCCTATGGCATCAAGCAAAATTACTAAGAAAAATACAGTCCAGACTTACATTACCATTGCTTGCTAAAGACCATAGTATAGATTTTGAGTCATTATGGAGAAGGGTAGAAAGAAAAGGCATGAAAAAATTAGAGAAGGTTGATTTCATCCTAATTAAGACGAATTATAAATGCCATGGCTATGTTATATTGTGAACAGAGATATGTGACTTCCACTGGGAAACAGAGAGGTCAGGGAAGATCAAAACTAAAAGGTATCCTGTGTATTGAACCATTAGTTACTCACTATTGCCCTTACTAAAATAGTTTCAAATTGTAGAAGTCAAATTGTAGTGGACTGAGAAGAGAATGCAAAGTGAAGAAGTAGATGGTTAATATAGCAGACTCTTTTATTTAAAAAGAAAACAAAACAAAAACTTGGCATAAGAATTCAAGATGTGAGAGGACAAATAATTAGAAAATTACATAAGGCCAAGAAAAGTTTGTTTTCTTTTTCTTTTCTTTTTTTTTTTTTTTTAGGATGGAAAGAGATCTATGGATGCTTCACACTGAAGATGTGTCAAAAAATAGGAAGTAGGAAAAGATACAGGAGGAAACAGCAAGGTGCTGGAGAAGATGGGGATGGGATCAGGAACATCTTCTGAAACTAGTGGGAAAGATGCTGGATCAGTAAGGCCTTTTCAGGTGAGGTGTCAGAAACCCAAGTCTAGTTACAGAAAAGGAAAGAGAAGGTTTAATGGTGAAGTTTTAGAGTGAACATAAAGGTTTAAGGATGAAAAAGAAAGTAAAGGCTTAAGAGATGAACTGTGGTTCAATCCATTTGAATTAAAAGTTCGAACAACTTGAACTGAAAGTACGCATAAGAAGAACTCGCAGAGAAAAAGGTGCAGCTCTGTGAAGCAAGGAAATGGATGCTAAGATGACAGAGGCAGCAGGTAGAAAGGAGATAGCAGAAGTAGAGAATGTGAGGCAGAATTGTCTTTAAAAATAAAAACCAGGTCTGCTGAGAGGGTAGAGGAAAACCCAACATCAAAAAAAAGTGTTAGCGCAAAAGTGACCTTGATAAAAGAATTTTAATTGCACTTAAAGACTCAGACTTGCTGCTCTTAAGTAAAAAAAAGAGGAAATTTCTATATAAAAGAGCTTCAGTTACCAGAATTTCCTGCCAATAAATTCATCCTGGTACATTCACTTATTCCTAAAGAGTTTGGTCTTTAGAAAAACAGAGATGCTGCTACACTGATCCCAAATCCATCTAAGTTATGAAAGAATTCTTTATATTTCAGAGTCAAATGAGGAATAAGAGATTTTTTTCCCCTGAAAGAACTGAGTTTCAAACTTCTTCTGCCAAGAACTGACTCCTCTAAACTTTAGCTTGAATCACTTCAGAAATATTCCATTTTCCATCTTTCCCTGTTGTGCAAGCAATGATTCTCTAGCTTTCCCTTTCTAAACTTTATCCATTCTCCTTTTCTTAAACCAAGAGATGCCAAGCCCCTCCAAAACAGCACATCATATTCCCAAGTTTCTGGATCCAACTGAAGCAAATAACTGGTCATCCCAATCCTTAAGCTCCATGCTAAGGCTTTTTCTGTCTTGGATAACTCCACTTTCAAGAATAGTTTAATATAATTCGTGCGTGCCTCTATCCAAATAGATTGTCTTCAGTGGAAGGAAACAACTTGTCTCTCCTGCACCCACTCTAGAGTTCTATGGCTCAGGATGGTACAGGCCTATACACATGTCCAGGTCTGGCTGTCTCACTGCAAGTTGAGGAAACCTACTTAAGTTATTAAAATCTCCATCTGGACTATTTATGAGTGGCCTCCCTAAAACTCTTGGTCTTTCCAGGGTTCGAGTCCTTGGAAAAAAAATGTTTTTCAGAATCCGTGAAAGTCATTTGTGCCTAGTACCAATTAGATTGGAACGTTAGACTTTTTACTCATTAATTAAAAATCTGTATTTGATAAACAGTTTTAAGTGATAGGTAGATTTAAGCATCCATGTTATCCACAGATAGGAGAACCCAAAGCCCCAGATTAATATTTGGAGATAATAAAAATATTAACTTCAGATATTAAGGCAAAAATAACGTAGGTTCTTAACTCTTTTGTATATAAATGCACATCTGTTTCCTCTCAGGGGCAAAGCATGGGTTTGGTACTAATTTATCTGCACCGAATCATCCTCCCCAAGGGCACTACCAGCAGGCAGACATTTACAAGATACCCAGTGGAATTTAACCAGTGATTTGGATACAGCAAAGCCAAATGGCCCTAATGACAATTAGTTTTCACTTTGATGATGGCAGTGAGCATGGAAAGTAATGGACAAATACAGGATAGTCTTTTTGAGGTCAAGTCTGCAAGCCACTAGACCTCTCTCAATTCAATTGTCTGTTGAAACCAAACTCTCACAGAGTATCTAATGGAGGAAAAGAAAATAAAGAGCCATTTACTAAGCATATTCACAAAAAAAAACAATGTTTCAATATTAATGAAGGTTTAGATTAAAATTTAGGATGGTTCTACTCCTTTAAATCCCTTAGCACTCACACCCTGTCCCTAAAACCTTTCATAATTATACTAGTTTTTCATGATATAGAAAGTGAATGTGATATCAAAAGTCAAAACAGTACAAGTAGCTTTTTGTATAAATGCTGGAAAGTATCTCCTGTTACTTCAAGGACTAGGAAGGATTTAGACTTCCACATGTAAAATGATCGTGGCCTCTTTTCTAGGCTTTGTAAATTGACCTTTTGGGGTATAACTTTCATAGGTCAGTTGGCCCACCAGAGTAATTAAATTAAAGAGTTCCATACTCTGCTGAGTTTTGGTGGAGTTTTATCCTGTGCATTTGAATGAGTAGGATTAAAGCTTTATATTACATATTTCACATATTCCTTACTGCCCACCTCCATTCCAGCCTGGCTTCTAGCCTTTGGAAGAAAATGTCTCTAGTACCCTGATGCCATGTGTTCCTTCAGCTTCTGATCACATTGCTTTCTCTTCATTGCTGCAGTGGACCCACATTCACCTTCTCTGTCAAGACAAACTCCTGGTCCTCTGTTAGGAGGACCTGCTCAAGTCTGGCTTTCATTAGCACTGCATGTCTCTGTTCTGTTTTACTCCATTCTCCTCTTTCATGTGAAAACTACAAAAGGCTTTTTCACTCACCTTTTCTTAAGCTCCTTAAGCTCTCTAATGCCTGTGTAAGTATGCACGTGGATGGAATAATACTCAAGATATATACAAGGTATTGTCAAACATAATGACATTTTATTAGGCTTTTTTTTTCCCCAGGTAAACACATTTAACCAAATCGCAAATTATATTGCTCTTAAAGCTACACAGAAAATCCCAGCAGATAGGACTTCTGAGGTTTGGTGCAGTAGTTTGTCTTGATGGCCTCATGTACACAGTCACTATAATCAGTGTTACATTTGCCGCATTTGCAGCTTACAGCGACAGGGTAGGAGAAATATGGAGCAACATGATGTGGGCATCCTGGTATTTCTACAGTCCTGTAGATGAAGTCTCTATATGTACACACATCTTGGGAGAGGGCATATTTGGGAAGAAACAGCTTGCCATTGATATCCTGAGAATGAATACATAAGAGAGCATAACATGATAGGACTTTAGAAAACATACAGATAATGGAAACAGATGAATGCCGATTCATTATATTTCTTTTTCTTTTTTGTTTTTTTAATTCTAATTTGTTATATATGACAGAATGCATTACAATTCATATTGCACATATAGAGCATAATTTTTCATATCTCTGTATACAAAGTATATTCACACCATTCGTGTCTTCATACATGTACTAAGGGTAATGATGTCTAACTCATTCCACTATCTTTTTCACCCCCATGCTCCCTCCGTTCCCCTCCCACCCCCTTTTCCCTATCTAGAGTTTGTCTAATCCTCCCCATGCTCCCCCCTCCAAACCCCACTATGAATCAACCTCCTTATATCAGAGAAAACATTTGGTATTTGGTTTTTCGGGATTGGCTAACTTCACTTAGCATTATACTCTCCAACTCCATCCATTTACCTACAAATGCCATGATTTTATTGCTGAGTAATATTCCATTGTGTATATATACCACATTTTCTTTATCCATTCATCTACTGAAGGGCATCTAGGTTGGTTCCACAGTTTAGCTATTGTGAATTGTGCTGCTATAAACATTGATGTGGCTGTGTCCCTGAAGTATGCTGGGTTTTTTGTTTGTTTGCTTGTTTAAAAAAATATTTATTTTTTAGTTGTAGTTGGACACAATATCTTTATTTCATTTATGTGGTGCTAAGGATCAAACCCAGGGCCTCGCACGTGCTAGTTGAGTGCTCAACCGCTGAGCCACAACCCAGCCCCAAGTATGCTGTTTTTAAATCCTTTGGGTATAGACTGAGGAGTGGGATAGCTAGGTCAAATGGTGGTTCCATTCTTTGTCACAAATAACAACTAAGAGAGGATTCCTTTACTCTGTTCCCCAATAACACATCTACATTGAATCCTACAGAGACAAAACTGATACCTTCCTTTCTTTTATCTCTGATTATGGGAATAAGAGGCTTAAACAAATATGGATAGCAAAACTATTATAAATTTATCTGTACCCATTTTGCTGAGTAAATCCACATAATATTATAAACTGTGTGCTCTACTTTTAAGGAGCCAATAATCATTGGATTTGGAAAATGAGGTTGTGATTTACCTCATTTCCTTTACAGATAGGAATTAACTGCTTCTATGTTTATATAATTTATGTCCAAAAGTGAGATGAACTACATACCCGTGTCATACAATATCCAGCACAGATGGTGGTGTTGATGGTTAGGCAATAAGCACACTCTCTCCTATCGACATGCATTGTATACTCGGTTGGAATACAAAAAGTCATTGCTTGCCCACATGCAAGACCAAAAAGCATGGACATCAGGAAGATAGCAGTCATGCTAAAATAAAAGATAAAATTTAAAAACCTATTACATGTATTCTTTCAGAACATTTGGAAGACACATTTTGGAAAAGTTTAGATGTTTTTATATACTTAATACTCTCAAACCTTAAAATATACATTTTGATGTGGCTATGATTCACTACATATTCATAGTAGAGGAGCTCACATTGTAGAGGTCCCCCTTTCAAGTGCCACAAAGCTTGCCAGAGCAAAATGGCAAGCCTGAAGTTAACACAACACAGAGATGCATATGGGAATCAAATGGGAAATAATTCATTCAGTAGAAATATAATCCAAATAACTACCTTTATATAAGAAGTCAATTAATAGTTATCTTCAGGAAGAGCTTTCCCAGAATGGTAGTTTTCTAAAAACTCTGGCCCAATAACTTAAAAGGCCAACAAATCTTTTGTTCATAATCAGAAAGGACAAAGAAAACAAAAAAAGGCATAACCAAATTTTAGTACCATTCCAGTGCAAATAATATTGCATATAATTCCACCATTTCCAGTCAAGGAAGATATCATGAAGCTAGAGAAAGTCCAGAAAAGCGAAATTAAAATTACACTAGTGTTAATAGGCTAACTTAGAAATCTAGACCCACCTTCTGAACCCATAGAATATTCCTTTAAGATTGAAAGAAGCAGAGTTGGACCAAATAAAAGATAATTTTACACAGAAGATATATGAAACTCATTATCTTGAATAGAATATAGAGGCAAAATATATAGTTTGACACATTGAAAATAATACAATCAATGATGATGATCTATTGTAAGAAAGAAATACTAAATTTTTTTTTGCTGCATGGGAAACAACAGAGGATCCCCTTGCAGAAGTAGAACATGCATCTCAATAGAGCCTGTCTAATGGAAAACTTGTTCACTACCCATTGGGCATTGTAATGATCTGGATAATGTTATGACATAATTATTTTTGTTTTGCTACTAAGAGAGGGTAATCAAATTTCAGACTTTGGGATGTAGGTTGATCAGTTCAAAGATTAAGAAGATTTTTTCATTTTACTAATATTGTACAGCTAGATAGGGGTGTGTGTGTGTGTGTGTGTGTGTGTGTGTGTGTGTGTGTTTGGGTTCTTTTTCTTCTCAAGTATCATTGTCAGTAAAGAAAATACACCCTGTAGTGGAGTAGTATTATCTATGAACACAAGACATTTTCTCATAATATTAAATAATTATTCACTAAACATCTTTATTTAACCATCAAAAAATTATCAATATTTTCTCAAAACTTTCAATTATATACAAACAGTACCTTTAAGCTAATACCCCTACTTACTGAAATTCATACACACAAGCCTCAGTTAACTAGAATTTGTCTTCAATAAACTTGTAAGAAAAAAAATGAAGAGCATATTTTTCAGAGGTAATCAGGGATTTATCTTACATGTCAACTTCTAAAGACTAGTAGTCATTCAACCAACTTCTTATTCCTAGAATGAGAAATGAAGATAAACTGGAAAAATATATAGTGAGGATCAAAGTCAGACACTGAGACACAAAATGAGTAAGATATGGTTTTTGATCTAAGGGATTGACAGTCCAGTGGAAGAGCTAAGTATGAACTCAAATAATACCATTGTTCTAGGTTCTCTGAAAGAGTCCAACTTATAACTCACAATTATCAAGGATCTCCTTAGGTTTACTATACTTGTGAATAGAAAAGGAAATGAACTAAATCATTTTAGGAGGAAGGACTAGTGAACTCTTAAGTAAAATATTGCCCATTCAAGCATTCCTTGTAGGGGTTTTGTTTGTTTATTTTTGTTTTGTATTTGATTTAGGAAGCAAAAATATAAGAATTTATGGGCTAGTGTTGTAGCTCAGTGGCAGAGCATTCACCTAGCACTTGTGAGACACTGGGTTTCATCCTCAGTACCACATATAAACAAATAAAATAAACATATTGTGTACATCTACAACTAAAAAAAAGGAAAAAAAATATATGAAATCCCATGGCCTTATTTTTTGCAGTGTTGGGAATCAAACTGGGGCCTCATGCGTGCCTGGCAATCTGCTCTCCTGGCAACCTGCTCTACCACTGAACTGCAATCCCAGCCCCCCAACAGGAATTCCTTACTTATGGAATTAGGTTTTCTTAAGTGTTTCACTTAAGAATTCCCACTATGATATAGAGTTGGTTTCATTATTTAAGAACCACAGACCTGGAGTATCGTCTGCAGGATTTTAAAATTATGAACCAGGTAAATTATGTAAAACACTCATCCACCATGATCATACAGTTCTTGTCTGTCTAGGCAGCTACCTACTGATTTTTTACCACAGGAAATAATTAACTTCACTTATTTTAACCTCTAGCTCTACAATTTTATATAAAATAGATGTGTGGTGATCAAGTGATAAAAAGATTGATTTAGAAATTAAGCAACAGAATTCTCCATGGATCTAAGAAAAATTGACTAAAATATTTAATCTGTCTGAATTTTGTTTCCCAGTTTGCAAAATAGAAACAGACAAATACACTTGACCCCCTTTAAAATTCTAGGATCAAAAAATTGTATTATAACTTTCCCCCATTGATGCCCTATTCATTGCACATATTTTTGAAGTTCTTCTTATAAATGCAGAACTTTAAACTAACAAAAGTAAAATATTAAAAGTGTTGAATTACCAGCCATAACAGTGATATAACTTTTGTTTACATGCAGAAAGTAAGAACTATTTCTTTCTCCTTTACTTCTTTATTGGAATTAAAACTTCATCTTCATAATCTTTCTGAACCTCAATTTCCTCATCTATGAAAGAAAGGCTTAAAAACAGAAGATGATGTGGAGGGTTTCTGCAGCACAAATAGTCTGTGATTCTATGAGATTTCAGAAAGGAAGTAAAGAATCAATTGCTGCCAGGTCCAGTGGTGGTGCACACCTGTAATCCCAGCAATTTGGGAGGCTGAGGCAGGAGGATCACAAGTTCAAGGCCAAGCTTGGCAACTAAGCAAAACTCTGTCTCAAAATTTAAAAAAAAGGGGGGGGGGGACAGGGAGCAACCGTCTGGGGATATAGCTCAGTGACAGAGCACCCTGCGTTCAATCCCTAGTACAACAACAACAACAAAAAAAAAAAAAAAAAGGAAGAAGAATCTATTGCCCATCTTATGAACAATACCAGAGTTTCCCCAAAGCAGTACATTTTTCTAGAGAGCAAAATGTACTACAGGCAAATGTTTGTGTTGGATATCATCCAAGGAGGTTTTACTATTAAATAACTAAAGAAAATTTTAATAAAGAGTATATTGCCCCTGAAGGTACTGAAAACTGAATTTACTCTAAGACTTCCCAGAATTATATTTTGATCAAAAATGACCATTAGTAATTGAGAAGATTTAATACACATTCAATTGATAAAAACATTTTAATCAAATGTAAACAGGAGAATGTCATGCACATCAAACATTCTTCCTTAGGAAATCAACCAGTTGTTTCTTTTCCTTTAAGTTAATGGAATTTTTTTCTTAACTTATGTATGTAGTTCACCTACCTTCACCAACTACTGAACAATTTAGAGCAATAATTAAAAATTTTAGAGCCTATTAAAGCAAATTATCTCTTACACTTGCAATTTTTAAATAAATACAGTTTTGAAAATAAAAGAAACTTGGAATAAGAACATTTTATTTCACAGAGCCTTCTCATTATAGAAACCTACCTTACTTTGCATTGGTGAGCTGCTTCTGTGATGACCCAGACTCTTGGTTCATTTTATACCCTTCACGATAATTCCCCTCTGATCTTCTTGTTTATATAATTGCATTTGAATTACTGCTTTCTTATCTGAAAGACATCTATTGAAAATTCATACTGAACCCCAAATAAAATATGTTTAGACAAACAAGTTCACAATATCTTCCACTGGAAACTCTGACATTATTGTAGCACGCATTTTCCTCTCTCCTATTTCAAAATAAAATTGCTCTTTTAAACACATCCTTTATTAATGTTTGTTAATATTAATAAAGTACAGACACAGAATGGGAAAAAAGAAGTAAAAAATAACACTTTAACATCATCTAGTAAGTCTTAGGAATGAAAATTTATTTGGGGGTTTGAGTACTCCAAAGTTTACCTAACTGCTCATGTAGATAAATATAAAATTATTCCTTATTTACAAGACAAAGGCAAATTCTTTATGGAAATCTAGGGCAGTGTGCCCATATGATGCTGATTAAATTTTCTTGATTAGTTCAAAATGTTTTATTGTTCTTTTCTTTGGATTTTAAAAATATTAAGTACAGTTAACATGTGAAATGTGTTCACTTGAGTAACATGGTAAAATCTTGCAAGATACTGATGTGAGATCAAATTTTGACTGTCATTTACTAGTTATATGTATTGGAATACTTGAACTCTGTTTACTTCAGTTTCCTCACCAGTTAAAAGGTGTTATCAACATTTCTATAAGACACCTAACACAGTGCCTAGCACAAAATAAGGGCTCAATAAATGACAGCTAATTTACAATAATTCAACATATATTTATTTAACCAATATTTAATCACAGTGCCTAATATGTAGTAGGCAATCAATATATTTGTTGAATGCATAAATAGCTAAGGAATGCATAAATATTGAATTTTGGAACAAATGTACATATTCCTCCATCTCCATAGCTATAACTCAATTTTACTACATTAAATGACTTTTCCCTGCATTAAACATTTCCAAATTGCCTTCAAGAAAAAAAATCAGAATTCCTTAGTTGCATTTGCAAAGCCCTCATAATCTGCTCTAGATCTACAGTTGCATGTTTTCTCATCTCCCACCAATCCATCTTCACGTTGCATCCTTTCTCCACTTAATTTTTCAGCCAAAGTGAACTGAGTTTCTCAAATTAGTCACATTCTTTCTTGCCTTCAAGCCTTTTCATATGTTATTCCATCTGTTGAAACACCTGCCTGATCTCCCACTGCATGCCTCATTTCACCTAATTTCTACTTATTTTTCATTATTTACCTGAGGAAACACCCCTTGTGTAAGTCTTCTTTTGATTCCTCAAGGCCCTCCTCATGGCTAGTTAGTGGTTTTAAGAGAATCAGAGAACATACATAGAAACCCTAGCATATGGTAGATACTTAATAAATCATAGATATTCTTATAGGTCACTCACAATTCTATTTGTCTTCACTTACCCTCGTCTTTGTTTTCATTAAAGTTAAATAAAAAATGATGTGTGGCATAGGTAAGTCTCCTCAGAGGATAATGGCAATGTCAAGGCAGAGTCTGGGATATGTTAAATAAAAACTTAAAGAAAAAGTACATTTTATAGAGTTTAATTGCCCAAAAAAAATGATTTGAGGATAATGGCAATGTCAAGGCAGAGTCTGGGATATGTTAAATAAAAACTTAAAGAAAAAGTACATTTTATAGAGTTTAATTGCCAAAAAAAATGATTTACAAGTCAGACAGCCCTCAGAATCAGAAGCAGTTTAGAAAACGCAGCTCTACAGCATCAGTAGGCAGTATTTGTGGATAGAAAGCAGAAATGAGGTACAGAAACAACTTGATTGGTTACAGCTTACGGTATGCCTCGTCAGCTGGCCACCTGTAACTGAAACTTGGCTACAGCAGCTAAGACTCAACTGTTTGTTATAGAAGTATATTCCTGGGCTGGGGTTGTGGCTCAGTGGTAGAGCACATGGCACATGTGCCTTGGGTTCGATCCTCAGCACCACATAAAAATAAATAAATAAAAATAACTAAAAGAAATAAATATTAAAAAAGAAGTATACTTCTAAATTATGCTTTCAATTAGATTACAGTTCATTAAGTAAGGACTCACAGAAACATCCTTAGATAAAATTTAGTTTACTCTAGTAAACTAAACCAGAGAGAACCAGTTCAGGGGCCCCTAATTTCTTGGGAATATGAACTACTGTGCAGTGAGAGAATTCTAAATCTAGGAAAATTACAATTGGGGTGCCAAATTTTAACCTTGCTTTAAGTGATTCTAGGCAAGTTAACAAGAGCATGGTAACTGGGGGAATGTTAGATGTTCCTTTCTAATGAAACCCATGACTCTGTTGTTTAAAGCTTTGATCCAGGAACTCACTTTCTAGTGGATTTATATGCATATCCCTGGTGTGTGTGTGTGTGTGTGTATCAATATATAGTAATATATACTAACTGATATGCACTTGGCCTGTTACTAGAAAAATATAAAATACATAAATTTGGGTAGGATTCTCTTTTTAAAGGCACACTCGTGTATGATCTCATGCTATTAAAAGAACCTACACAAATTGAATTTGCACTTCTGATCCAGATTTACTCTCCCACCTAAAATAAATTTAAAGCAAGACAAGATATGTGAAATAATAGTTCTATTGGAAGAAGCCTTTAGCCAGTTTGGTCTATTGAAAGGGCTGTTGTGGATGATTTCGGTAGATCTATAGGGAAAGGCATTGTTGAATTTGCTTCTAAATCAGCAGCAAGAAAAGTATTTGAACGAAGCAATGAAGGTGTTTTCCTACTGACAACAACTCCTCGTCCAGTCATTGTGGAACCACTTGAACAATTAGATGATAAAGATGGTCTTCCTGAAAAACTTGCACAGAAGAATCCAATGTATCAAAAGGAGAAATACCACCTCGTTTTGCTCAGCATGGCACATTTGAGTATGAATATTCTCAGAGGTGGAAGTCCTTGGATGACATGGAAAAACAGCAAAGGGAATAAGTTGAAAAAAAACATGAAGGATGCAAAAGACAAGTTGGAAAGTGAAATGGAAGATGCCTATTCATGAGCATCAGGCAAATCTTTTACTCCAAGATCTGATGAGATGTCAGGAAGAATTAAGACATATGGAAGAACTTCACAATCA